TTTACAAATATGATCTCATTTGATCCTTACAATAACACTTGGAGGTAGGGAACCAAGTGAGGAAACCCATTTCCTTTTCGGAGAACTCTTGGTTGACAGTTCTTTCCTGACCTCAAGCCTCAATCTGCCTCTTTGCACCTTCCCTCCACTTCCCCTGGTAATACCCTGTGGGGCCTGGCAGAGCCAGACTAGGTCCTCTGTTACTTGAGAGCTCTTCAAAGACTTGAAAGCAGCTACCTTTTCCTCCAGAGGAATTTTGACAGATTGGCTATGATGTGACTTATTTTTCGGCGCCCAGCAACATAAGTCAAATTCCAATCCTCCAAAAGAGCAGGCGTGGAGTCACGAAGACCAGTTCTAATCCAGCCTCAGAGACTCACTAGCTGTATGACCCTGGGCAAGTCACTTCACCTCTGTCTGTCTCAGTTTCCTCAATTATAAAATGGGGTTACTAATATAGCCCCTACCTCTTAGGGATGTTGTAAAGATCAAGAGAGATAATATTTGTAAAGTGTCTGGCACATAACAAATGTTAGCTATTATTATTAAGAGAATCAAATAATAATAACTAGCATTTCTATAACACTTAAAAGTTTGCAAAACCCTTTGTACACATTGTCTCACTTAAATGCCACCTCTGTATAGTGTTTTGCAAACCTCAACGTGCTGAAATCGGGGAGGATTCCTTGGCAGGATTTTTCAGATCTTGTTGGGTAGGGGGCCTTCCCCAGTTCAGAGCTTCTGAGCTTTGGGAAGGACTGCAGAGGATACATCTCCTAGCTTTGGGGAGGAACAGCAGAGTTTTGAGGACAAGCTGCATCTTAGCTATGCTCTTCAAGCCCAGGAGAACCTCACTCTCACATGGTGAATCTCAATGGTGAATTTAGCCACACCAAGGCAAATCTCAACTCTCAGTGCAGGAATGGTGGCTGTTCCACCTGGGAAGCTCCTCAAATGACCGCCAGCAGACACTGGCTTACCAGTAACATCTAAGGACCAGGGGAGAGAACAGGACCTCTAGAAAAAGGCACACAGAACATTGCTTAGCACTGTCCTGGGGGACATGGGGGAGTGCGGATAAAAGAAGAAAAGCAAGGGTCAGAAAGGAGTTTACAGTCTACACACACACACATACACACACACACGTGAAATGTCATACAATACAGGACCCTAGGAGTGGGTGGGGACTTTGGGGACCCTCACAGCAAGAAGAATCACTTCAGGTTTCATGAAAGATAGAAGACTTGAGCTGAGTCTTGGCCTAATCCAGGGGAATAATGGGAAAAGCAGTGGGGACAGTGACAAGGGTTGGATTTGGGGTCAGGTTCAAACCAGGGCTTTGCCACCTGTGTGACTTTAGGCAAACTCTTTTATTTCCCTGACTTCCCTTGCTTCCATGGCTGGACTCAGTAGCCACTCTATCTTGAGAATCCTGACCTCTGACCTTAAGATGACTGATGGCCATTGGCCCCCCTGGACTCTTTCCCTCTGCTGGTAAGAACCTATAGGGCTTCCCTTGGCTGGTAACCCCTACTGGAGAGAGGCCTTTTCTGACCCCTCCCCTCTCCAAACTTCCTTCCTATTAGCCTTCTGCCTAAGGAATGCTTACTCATTGAGGTACCAGTTGCACCCCCAGTAGGAAGGGAGGGACTGGTTTGGTTTTGTCTTTCTAAGCCCAGTGCCGAGCACAGTTGGTGGAATTATGAGGTGCCTAATAAATGCTCCAGAACCTGGGCTTGATTCTAATCAGTCTCTGACTGCTTTTGTGACCTTGGTCACCTCTCTGGGCCCTAGGGTGCCCATATGTAAAATGGGAGGGTTGGCCTTCCAGCTCAAAAGGTTCAAAGAACTCAAGGTTAACCCATATGGTTGTTTTGCTCCATGTCCCCAGGAAAAGTGTGACTGTTAAGGAGGTACAGGGAACCCTTGGGCAATGCTTGGTCCTTTCTTAGTCTGGGGTGCCAGTGAAAAATGTGTGTTCTGATAAACAGTTGACAACTTGATGATGCTAAAAAGTGTTATATGCTGAATAAAAGGTTATGAGCAATGAATTTCTATTTTATATTTCTTTCTTATGTGCACAGTAAACTCAAGAATCCAAAAGAGGTTGGGGATCTCTGACCCACAGAACCAGGATAAAGGAAAACACTGTGATGGTGGGCATATGGCTTGGCAGCTCTGGGCATGGAGCTGGCACTGTTGGGCATAAACTCCTTTCCCCAGCCTGAGCTTACTTACTTTTCATAGGTTCCTCTAACTTGATGAGTGTATAAAAATGACATTAGGCCTAATTAATACTTACCCTTATTTATCCTCATTGTTTAAAGGGGCTTCAACTGTGACATTAACATTTTTTAAAAATCTAGACCAGTGATTACATCCATGTGGGGGAACTCCCAGTGCAGAAACTCCCTTCACCACTGTAGATCAACAACTCCCCGTTAAGCTATAGTCCAGGAGTGGGGAACCTGCAGCCTCGAGGCCACATGTGGCCCTCTAGAACCTCAAGTTTGGCCTTTTGACTGAATCCAAACTTCACAGACAAATCCCCTTAATAAAAGGATTAATTCTGTAAAACTTGGACTCAGCCAAAAGGCTGCACCCAAGGACCTGCATAGTCTTAGCAAGTGGCCTGCCTCTTGGTACAATGACTTGCCCAGGGTCACAAAGCCAGGCAGAACTTGAACCCTGGTCTTGTCGACTGCAAGGCCAACTCCCTATCCATTATGCAATGCTGCCTTTCGATTATAGAAATGAACTATTCTGGGGAAAGTTAATGCCAAGTTGCAAAGTGGAAGGGTACTCTTCACTTTGACTGAGATGCCATTTTCAAGTGGGTAGGACTTTTCTCATTGTACCCTGAAGTCACTGTTAGGCAGCTGGGAGATGGCTGAATATGTGAAAGCACTGTGGTCTGAGTTCAAATTCTGCCAATGACCCCACTTGTCTAGGCCTGGGCCTATACAAAGTCCCTTCCTCTCCCTAAAGCCTTAGTTGCCTCCTTTGTAAAATGAGTGGTTGGGCTAGATTGGTCTCTGGGAATCTTGCCAGCTCGATGCATAACCCTATGAAACGATTCTGTTTGGAGCTTTAAACTGTCTTTAAAAATAAATACACCCAATAAAGCAGCTTGGCTTCTTGGATTTGAAAACCACAGGGGAAGGTCCATTGGGAAGTGTACTAGACTGGTGTTGAGAGGCCACTGGGTCTTTGCCTGCTGAGACTTCTCTCTTTCTGAGTTTCTGTTTCCTCACCTGTAAAATGGGGTTAGACTAGACCAGAAATTTAGCGGTGGAAGGGACCTTAGAAGTCCAACCCTCCTGTTTTTCCAATAAGGAAATTGCCTAAGGTCACACAGGCAGTAAGGGGTGGGCTTGGAGCACTGGCTGCCATTCCAATTCAGTAATATTTGCCCTGGCCTAGGTTGCCACCAGATCTGGAAGGCCTCTTCCTACTCTCCTAGGCCATTTACCTGTTCCTTAACTGTAGAGAATAGCTCCCTCCTCCCCAGTCTCCCTCCTCTCTCCTGCACAGGCCTGTTTGTTTTGGGAGCAGTAAAGCCTTCTAGATATCACAGGCCTTGGGGTGCAGGCCCTCTTCTTACCCTGACTCCTGTCTCCAGCTGGATGGGGCTCCAGCATCCTGGGGCCGCTGCAAGGTCTATGGGCATTGGAGCAATCCTGAATATTTCTCAAGGTCTTCTATGGGGCATAGTGGGGGTGGGGTGGGGTCCGAGGCTGGTGGCTGATGCTAATCTAATGCTTCATTTCTAGGAGCTTTGTTCCAGCAGCCAACATGGGGGTGGGTTGTTCAATGTAACCAATGAAGTGTATCAGGTCTGCCTGTAGCAAGGCCAGATGTCTAGGCAGATGTTCTGCTCTTTCCCAGGTGTACTTGAACCTTGAAGAAAGCATTGTGAGAGGGGGTGGGGGTGGGAGTCGGGGGATCACCCAGGCCCAAGCCCGCTGGCGGTGCTTCCGCCATGTTCCCCCCTTCAGCCGCAGCACGGTTCAGGGATAAGAAAGTAGAGCCTTTCAGCTGGTGGCGGTTCCTGGTCTCCGGCATGGTTTGCAGGGTTGGGGCCACCATCACTACTGCCACTACCTCTGCTGCTGCTGCTGGGGGGATCACGCACAGATATTCCTGGGAGCAGAACCAAGGTCCATTCCCCTCAGTCCGTCCCTTTGCCTAAGCCTGAAAACAGCAAATATGCCTCTGCGCACCCCCCCACCTCCCCCCCTGGGCCGCAAGCAGGCTCGGGGCATCTTTGTGGATTTGTGTGCCTGCTTCCATCCCTCCATCCCTCCTTCCCTCCCTCTGGAGACAGACTCGCAGGCACACACACGTACAGATATACACAGAAGCACACAGCGCACACACATGTACAGGAGCACGCATAAGCATGTAGGAGTATAGACATGCACAGGCGCACACACATGTACTGACACACAGGAACACACCCAGGGGCTTGGCCTCCCAGTCCCACAGGCTCTCTCACTCGCTCGCTCATTCCAGAAAGCTGCCCAGCTGGCCTCCTTCCCTCCTCCTCCTTAGCTCCCCCCTCCCCTCCACGAGCCCTCTGCAGCATCCAGCGGGCGCGGGCGGGATGCTGATACTGATAGTGATACTGATGCTGATGCTGATGCTGCCTCCGTCGGCGCCGATGTCCGAGCCCCTCAGACAAAGCTCGCACGCAGCCCTGGGCCCCCCAGGTGCCCACCAAACACTACCCTCGGAGGGAGGGAAGGGAGAGGAGAAAATGAGCCCCCGAAGTGGCCAGCCGCAGACTGTCCTCGGCCCGGCCCACGCAGGTGGCCACATTCCCCAGCTTACAGCTCTCGGGCCCGGGGCCGACCCAAATGCCCAGGAGTGGGGGCTGGGGGGCGACAGGGAGCAGACCCTCCCCGGCAGCCCCTACCCGTCCTTCTTCCCCCACCCCACTAGGGCAGTGCTCCGCCCACTGCTCGCCCCGCCCTCGCCCTCCAGTCCGCCTGCCCCACCTGAACCTCTCCTGGCCCGCGGTGTCCCAGATCTGTAGCTTGATTCGCTTCCCGGGCTCGATCTCCACCAGACGGGAGAAGAAATCCACCCCCACGGTGGGGTCGGAGACCTGGGCGAAGCGGCCCTCGGTGAAGCGGCGGATGAGACAGGACTTGCCCACCGTGGAGTCCCCGATCACAATGAGCCGGAACTGGTAGAGCCAGATGGCCTCCATGCTGGCCGCGCTCAGCCGTCGGCCTCCGACCCGAAGCAGCGCCAGCGTGGCGGGCCTGGCTGCGGGACGGGGCTGCGGCTCGGGAGGCTGCGGGCGCCCCCGCGCGCGGGCTGCGCGGCGTCGGGGGGGCGGGGCTAAGCCGGCGGCCCGGCGCTCGGCCTCCCCCAGCCCTAGGGCATCAGCCAGCGGGTGCAGGGGCCCCAGGGGGCCGCGCCTTCGAAGCTAGGCAGGAAGAGGCTGGCGTTCGGGCGCGGCTTCGGGGGATGGTGCGGCCCGAGGCCGCGGGTAGAGGGCTCTGGACGGGGCGCCTCCGGGCTAGGAAGGCAGCGTCCTTGGCTGTGGCAGCCCAAGTCAAGGGCCTTCGAGCCGGCCACTAGCCGCCTTCCCGGCAGGCATCCTGCGGAGGGGTCTGGGAGCAAGGCTTGGGCAGCCTCGAGCTGGTGCCAATGCCAGTGCCGGTGCGGGCGCCGGTGGCGAGGTGGCCGCGCTCCGGGAGGCTGGCCTGGGCCAGGCTGTCACAGCCGCAGGGCTGGAAGCCTTTAGACGTGGGCACGGGCGGGAGAGGGCGGCGGGGATCACTGTTCTCTCCGAGCGTGGACTGGACCAGGCATCGCCAGGATGGAGGTGGGAGGAGCGCGAGAAAGAGAAGAAGGATGGAGAGACCGAGAGAAAGAGACAGACAGACAGGGGCAGAGAGGGTTCTGGGAGCGAGCCGACGCTCAGCTCGAGAAAAGGCTGCTGCTACATCAGTACCAAACATTCTGACTCATCGTTGGCATCATGGTTTACTGTAATCTCCTGCATAGAGGGAACGCTCCAACTCAGCCAGCTACTTACCGCATTCTCTAGATGAACTGCTCCTGAGGAAAAATCAACAAAGGGCTTCATTCTTGACTAATCAATCCCTAGCCCGGAATCCCTCAGTCTTTTCTGTTTCCCTCAGATTCACTTGTCGACTTTTAGGCTGAGGACCTTCCAGTCTGAGAAGTGAAAAAGCCAAGCCCAGAGCTGGAGTGGAAAGGCACCAATTGGGAGGCAGGGCATCGACCAAGTTCAAACCCTGGCCCTACCATTTTTACCTGCCTTAGTCCACCCATCTGACTTGGGGGGTGGGGTGCAGCGTTAACCTTCTCCCAGATGCACAATGAAGAGTTTACATGAAATGATCTCAAAGTTCCTATAGAACAGGAAACCTCTGGTTCGAACATTTACTTCACACTTACTAGCTGTGTGACCCTGGGCAAGTCACACCCCACCCTGTCCACAAAAAAAAGCCTCAATACCCTTATCGGTAAAAAAGGAGAATAATAAGAATTAGCTCACACTGATATTTTTTTTCAGGCAATTGGGGTTAAGTGACTTGCCCAGGGTCACACAGCTAGTAAGTGTGAAGTATTCGGTCTGAGGCTGGATTTGAACTCAGGTCCTCCTGACTTCAGGGCCGGTGCCCTATCCACTCCGCCACCTAGTTGCCCCCTGATATGGTGCCTTTAGCCACTGCTTTCGTCATAGGCCTGTTGATCTGCACCTCTTTCAGTTTGCTTCTGTGCATTTTTTAAAATGCTGCCCTGCTCCTGTGGTTTCCTTTGTTTGGCCTGTCTATCAGTAGTCACCCTCTTGCTCCCAAATCTGCCCTCCCTTTAAAAAAAGACAATCACAACTGTTCTTTATAACAAGAAGAGTCCAAAGAAACAAACCCCTATCTTGACTCTCATGCAGCTCTTTCTGCTGGAGGCCAGTAGCCTCATTGGTTCTCCAAACCATGGCTGGTTATTGTATGGGTCATGGCTCTTAAATCTTTCAAAGTTGCTTTATCTTGCAGTTTCATTATTATATAGGTGTCCCCAAAGTCTTAGTGTAGTTTGATACTATTCAAGCTTGAAACAGCCCGAAGACTTTGGGCCATCTCGTATGAAGTCCCCAGATTCTGCTCACCTTGCTCTGAGTCAGTTCACACAAGTCCTCCCAGGTTTTTTGGAATCCATCCCTTTGTCATTTCATTGCATTCATATGACATTTGTTGTACAGCCATTCTCTAATTGATGTACCCCCTTCCCCTTACTTCTCAGTTGTTTCATAAAGCTAAAAGAGCTCCTTTAACCACAGTCTAACAAGCATTTACATTCACCCTTTAGTTTGTTGTTGTTATTGGTTTTGTTTTTTGTTTTTTTTTT